GGTGGGGGGCAGAGCCAAGTGCAGGGTCTGTACAATCACAGCTGGGTCCAGCAGAACCAGGTTGGGGAAGAGACCTGTGTGCAAGAGGCAGAGGCTGGACTAGAAGCACATGGGACCTGGGACCTGACAGGGGGACCCAGGATGTGGGGGAAAGAGCCTGAGATCTGCAGGGGATGGGTGGCCCCCCCATACTGGAGATGGGAGGACCTGGGTTCTGGAGGGATAGTGGATACCCTGAATAGGAGGACAGTAAAACCCCAGACTGGTGGAGAATAAAGGAGATCTGAGAAAGAAAAGAGGTGTTAGGGGGACCAGTATTAGGGGGCACTGGTCTTCAGATGAGGAACACAAAGAGACCCAGAATCCAAGGGAGCACAGGGGGGACAGGGGAATGTGGGAAGAACAGCAAGGACAGTGGAGTCCCCAGAGACACAGGGAGATACAGGGAGATACTGGGGCTGCAGAGGAGCTATACGAGGCTATACGAGGCTGTTGGTGTTTAGACGGTAACCAGGGGACCGAAGATAGTCCAGGGCCCCCCCCTCTCTTACCTGTCTTGGCAATGCCTCGCAGGAGGTTGTCCAAGCCCAGCTCCAGGTCTGAAGGCAGGAAGGACCCCATCAGGCCAGGCAGGAGCTCCCTGTGGGGACAAAGAGTGGTGCTGGGGGACTAGAGGGGTAATGGGGGGCAGGTAGCTTCCTAGACACCTGCTTCAGCTCCCACCTGGTGACACCAGGTGAGAAGAGGGCAGTGAGGATCCCAAATGTCCAGGTTCAGCTGTGGTCCCCCTTTCCAGCTCAAGAGTGGGAGCTGCACCTCTGGGCAACTGGCTCTCCTGTCCGCTCCACAGGGAATGGGGCTGCCAGGGGCTGAGGGCTTACCTGGGGCAGTCGGATGTGTCCACGTAGACAATGGTTGATGCAGTTCCAAAGGCCACGAAGGTCCCATCAGCGCGAGGCAGGAGGGGGAGACCCCGGAGCTCAGCATGGCACCCATCCCCGGCCACGTAACGCAGCAGGGAGAGACGGTCGGCAGCTGAGAGGTCGATGGCCCCATGGTGCCACAGCACCTCCCGCACGTGTCCCGCTGTGGCCTCCCGCATGCCCTTCGGCATCGCCAAAGCCAGTGCCCTCCACACGTGGGCTGGGACCTCAGCCAACGGCTCCCCAGCTGCCACCAGCAAGGCCCGGACTGCCTTCTGTGCAGCCACGTCCCCCACAGCCTCCGGCAGCAGCACAGCCTCAGGCGCCCGCAGATGCCCTGCCACCCCCTCTGCAGTTGGCACCAGGAGAGGGGCAGCTGCCAGTTCCTGGCAGACACGGGTCACCAGGCTGCAGATCCAGCCAGAGCTTGGCATGCATTCGGGGTCTGACCAGATGCTGTAGACATCTGCACCAGGCAGAGCCATGGCCACAGCGGCCAAGTGGCTGTAGACCCGGGGCAGGAGGTCAAGCAGCAACAGGGCGTTCCAGCAGGCATCTTCCTCGCCCTTCTCACCCTGCTCAGGCCAGCGGAGGTGGCGGCGGTCATCAGAGAGGGCGAAGGGAGCACTGACATGGACGGGCAGCCCCGTGGCCATCTGGTCAGTGGCTGGCAGGGGCAGGAAGCAGCAGACCCGCCCTTGGCAGGGCCCACAGAGGGGGTGTGCCAGGCTCAGTTCTGGGCAGCACCCTAGCCCTGTGCCCAGTGCCATGACTGGCCCCTCTGTGGCCCTGCCTGTGGCTACCAGCCACTCGCTCACGTCACCCACCCCATTCCCATGCAAGGCCACCAGGTTCCACGCCAGACTCAGCCCCTCATCCCCTGATGGCACTGGGACAGGGAGAGGCTGAGGGGATGCCACAAGAGTCCCCATGAGTGTCTGGACCCCATCAGGGGCCACACGGTGCAGGGTCACACGGCGGACATGGCGGAGGAAGAGGAGGGCAAGAGGGCCATCAGTGAGGAATGTCTGGATGAGGCTGCAAATGCGCTCAGGATCGGAGACCCCTGCAGCGATTTCTGAGGGTTGCCGACGAAGGGGAAAGCGGAAGAGGGTGCCCTGGGGAGAGGCACGGTGTTGTCCCACAGCTTCCAGTCCAGCCCAGAAGGGCTCGAAAAGGCCGGGAAAGTCCTGAGCTGCAGAGATGTCCCAGCGCTTGCCAGCACCTGGTAGCACCTGGCATTCGGGGTCCAGCACCCCCAAGTATGGGGGGCTCAACACACCTGGCAGGTCTGGAGACATGAGAACCATGAGGCCTTCACAGGGATGACATGGACACCACTGCCTCCCCAGATCATCCTAACCTATCAGTAACCCAAAGGCCCATCCAATACTCTCAAGTTCATCTCCACAGTGCTTCCCAGGATCCACAGCCTAATCCCAATTCATCAGCTCTCCCTCCGTTTTCTGCTGTTGCTCTGCCCTCCACTGCCACCTAGCCTCCCTTCAGCTTCCTGGTGCTTCAGATTGCCTCACTTCACAGTGCCCTCCATTTTGCATACCTCACTGCCCCCCAGTTCTCCCCCGCTCCTACAGTTCAGAGCCTCCAGTAAAACCCATGTCCCCAGTTCAATCACAGTTGAGGTTTCCGGTGCTACTCACCAGTGAGGTGGTAGACAGAAGTGAAGCCCAAGCCGAAGCGCCCCACAGTGTGGGGATCCTCCCGCTTGTGCGACACCCCTGGGCGCTGAATCCCTGTCCAGTCCTGAGGTGACATCACAGCATCATTGTAGGCCAGGAGAGCTGGGCCTGGTGACCAGGACCATGAGTTAGGAGAGAACTGGGACATGTAGGGGGCTCTGTGACCCAGACTCAGTGTTCCCACAATCTCAGTCCCATGAAACGCTCTTCAGTACCACTGAGTCTTCCCAGTACCCTTCAGTGACCTCAGAACATCCCCAAACCCCTCATCAGCTCCAGTTCCCCCAGTTCCCTGATCATTCTTCAATTCTTCACCAATATCACCCAGTCCATCCCAGCATCAGCCAGTGCCACCCCAGTGCTTCATCCGGTCTCTCCCAGTGCCCATAGCACCTCTCACCCTGGGTGCCCTCCAGTCCCCCTCCGTTGATGTTGAATTCCCGCTCATCGGACACAAACACGACCTCTTTAGCGCCAGCATCATCCGCATTCTGCACCAGCTCCTGGAATTAAGAATGAGTGCATGGTCACCTGGGCTGTCCCAGGCCCATGAGAAAAGCACCGACCTTCTCTAGCTGGGAACCAAGGTCCTGGAGCTGGTGCTGGGCAAGGACCAACCCCCCACTGCCTGGGTTGGTCTGCCCAGCTGGGCAGGAGAGTCTGGATAGGTGGGTTCCCCGGGAGTCTCACCTTGAGGATTTGCCCCCCATCTGGGTACTTCTGCAGGATGCTGTGCAGGTAATCAAGGAAGACGGGTGCCCGCTGGCAGAAAGTCTCCCTGTAAAGCAGAGAGAAGGGGAAAGAGTGTGGGGGAGGGTGCGTAACCAGGACTCTATGTCCTCCTTGAATCCCCCAGATGTCCCCTTCCTCGGAGTCAAGGACCCCATCTTTTCCCAGGACTCTCTGAAACAACCACCTCCAAGGATTACACCCACACTTTCCCAGGGTCCCCACCTCTTCCTGGAATGCTCCAATGTCCTGGTTTTGGCTGGGATAGAGTTAATTTTCTTCCCAGCACTGTGTTTGGGATTTGGCAGGAGAACAATGCTGGTAACACACTGATGCTGGAACTGGTGTTCAGTCATGCTTATTCCAAGTCAAGGACTTTTCAGTGTACCATGCTCTGCCAGCGAGGGGGGAGCATGGCCAGAAGAGCTGACCCAAACTGGTTGGGCACTAAGAAAACTGTCATGGCTTAATCCCAGCTGGGAACTCAGTCCCAAGCAGCCGCTCACTGCTCCCAGTGGGATGGGGAGGAGAATCAGGAAAAGCTAAAACCTGTGGGTCGACATAAGAACAATTTAATAACTGAAATAAAACTAAATACACTGATATTACTGCTACTACTAATAGTAATGAAAAGAGGAGAGAGAGAAACAAAACCCAAGATAAACCAGTAATGCCAAACAGTCACTCACCACCCCTCTGATCCATGCCCAGCCCGTCCCCCAGCAGTGACCAGCGGCTCCCGGACACCCCACCACTACCACTCTGTTTCTACACTGGGCAGGAGGTTTTGTGGTACAGAACTTCCCTCAGGCCAGTTCGGGTTGGCTCTCCTGGCCATGCTCCCCCCTCAGTGGCAGAGCATAGGACACTGAAAAGTCCTTGACTGGGAGTAAGCACGACTGAACACCAATTCCAGCATGTGTGTTACCAACGTTGTTCTCCTGCCAAATCCGAAGCACAGTGCTGGGCCAGCTTCTGGGAAGAAAATTAACTCTATCCCAGCCAAAATCAAGACATTCAGCAACCCGGAAACTCCCTCCCTGCAAGCCCTGACCCTCGCAGTCCCCACCTCCCTCAGTCACCCTTCAGCTCTCCCTGAGCTCCTGGTCTCACCAACAGCCCCCTGCGACCCCTGCAACGCTCCAGCCACCCCCTGTGTCCCCCCACAAGCCCCCAGTGAAACCCCAGTGACAAGCCCCAGACCGACTCACGCCTTTGGCTGCCTGAGGGCCATGAGGGACGCCCGGTGCCACTGCCCGGTGCCAGTGCCCGGTGCCGCTGCCGTATATCCACTGTCCCGTTGCCGCTGCCCGGTGCCTCTGCCTGGTGCCAGTGCCCGGTGCCGCTGCCGTATATTCACTGTCCCGGTGCCGCTGCCGTAAATCCACTGTCCCGGTCCGCCTCTCGCTCCCTGGCACTGGCCCCACCTCCCGGCTCAACAGTTTCGATTCCTCGCTGCACACACAGCCGGGGATGGAAGGAATGGGAGGAGCAGAGGACATGGAGGGCACTGAGAAAGGTATCTCTAGGGGCATTGGCACTGGGGAATGAAAGACGTGGGCGGTCCCTGTCCTGCAGAGTCCCTGAGCCTGGGGCAGTCAGGGACAGAGGGCCTGATGAGGGCCTGAGGGCCAGCAAGGATCCAAGTCGTGGACTCGGCTGGGCACAGAACTGGTTCTGTGGCCATCCACGGGGGTTTCTAGGGTGAGATAGGACCACGACATGTGTCCAGGTGAGAACTGAGGGACAATACATATGTTAAGGGTGTGGAGGAACCAAGACATACCTGAGGGCCACATATGGGAGCCAGACATTCATCCAGGAAGATATAGGAAGAGGCTGTGTGATTGTGGAGGGCAACTATCTCAGACCAGGGTCTCACAGACCCTCTCCATCCATCCATCCATCCATCCATCCATCCATCCATCCATCCATCCATCCATTCATCTTTCTGTCACTTACCATCCCACTACAGGGTGTTGGCTGCTCCAGCAGGGCAGCACACCAGTGAGTGTCCACAGGTTCCTTGGGGGACATCAGTGTTCAGGACAAGGCCGGAAGGGAGAGGGACCCCAGGGAGACCCAGTTTCTGGTCTCCTGCCTATGACAGGTCTTCAGAATCATCTCAGCTGTCCTGGATGAAGGAGCCATATGAAATGGATCATGGGGACCATACGGAGATCACTTGCACTGTACAGATCACAGAAGACCAATTTAGGCCCTATGGACTATTACAGACTACGTGAAGACCACAGGACATCACACTGATTGCACAGGCCACACAAGAACCCCAAGGAGACCACATTGAGGCTATTTGGACTGCAGACCACAGGCTGTACGAAGACCATAAAGACATGGAAACCACTTGGAATGTGTGAAAAAGTAACCTGTAGGACATGCTGCTTTAGGGGGAGTGTAGGACAGATTTCAGGGGGACACATCTCAAGGGAAACCTCCTCAGCTCTTCCTTCTATCCCCTTGCTCCTGACTGCAGTGGTGTGCAGGTAGGTGCTTCATGGTAGTAGGACTCGGACAATACATTGTTCATTAAAACCTTTTATATTTAAGCTCAAATGTGCCTCAAGGGGAAGAATAAGGGCCACATCTTGCTCAGCGGGATGAGGCTGTTGGTTCTGTTTGTGTGAGGGGGTGTGTGCCTCTATGGATTTGTGAGGTTGGTTGTGTGTATCCCTATGTGTCCTATGATGGCTCCACAATTGGTTGGACCTGGGGGCTTGGAGCTGTGGCAGCCTCGTCTTCCTTGGGCTGCTGGATGCAGTAACTTCTAACAGTGGTGACAGAGGGGGAAGCCCTTTCCATGGTCCTGATTCAAAGAAACCTTTGAACAATCTGAAAAGCACTTTTATTACAGCCGGGGAATGCAAAGGGGCAGGTGTTCTCCCCAGTGCACTCCACCGAGCCAAGAAATACCATAGCTTTTTATACAGTTCGAAAGTAGCAAGTTTAAAATTATCTATACACACACTCTTTTTGCAGTCTGCCTTATCTAAATAGACACTTAGTTTTACCTCCTATTCTTACCATTATAGTTACATAAAGTTTTATCATTTCAAGCAGTTTCAGGTTCCCCACCCCTCTCTATGTGCTAAAAAGCCTTCCCTATTCTCTAAGCTATTTTATCTTAATTGCCCGCAGTTTGGGCAGAAACTTTTAAGCAGTTTTACATTTTGCAAAGTCACACCTACATAGCTAAATAGCTAATATTTTATTTCATTTTCTATTTCAGTCCCATGCCCTGGATGTGCACCCAGAGGCTGGTGTCCAGCCAAGGGATGTGCCCCTCTCCAGAGGGGCACAAGGAGTCCAATATGCCCATGGATGAGCCCCATGGCAATGCCACCAACTCCATCCTGGATGGAGAGAGCCAGGGCAGAGCCTGCAGGGTGGGCCAGAGGTCGTTCTCCTCTGGGCTCTGGTAAGACCAGAGCAGTTTGTTGTGGCCAGTGGAGGCTGTGGAGGTGAATGGGCCTGAAGGGAGGCTCTCCAAGGAGGTGCCAAGAATCAGTCGAGCCTGGGGGAGGCAAAAGGGGGTTAGTCAGGAGACGGGGCCAGAGGAGGTGCCCAGAACAGGAGGAGGCCATAGGGCACCCTACTGCCCAAACTTCTCCTAGTCCATGATATCTCCAAGGGAGACCGAAAGGGCTGAAGGGGGAAGAAAGCAAAGGGTGGAGAGAGTCTAGGAGGGACCACAGGGGTTCTGGAGAAGTCCAGCGGCCACTTTGCCTTTCCCCTCTGGGTTACACCCATATAAACCCCAGCTGCCCAGCCTGGAGTCCTCCCGACTTTTCCTGCTGTGGCCAGCTGTGGCAGAGGTTGCACACACAAGAGGGGGCAGGACATGCTGCCCGCAGCTCACAGGAGGACAGGGAGCTACAGACGCTGCAGCCTTCAGAGCAGGACCACTGGACAAGCTGCCACGTGTCCCACACAACTCCAGTGCCACAACCCATCCATTCCCTGCTCCCACATCACCTGGAGATGTGACTTCCCCTGTTTAATCAGACGTACATTATAGCCAAAGGGAGTTCTGTCTACATCCCTGGCCAGCCCAGTCAAGATGCAGCTGAGGCTGGAGGTCTGGCTCCAGGAGGGGTGGAAGGGAGCAGCAATGTGGAGTAAGGATGTTCCATTGCTCCAGTGCGGGAATGAGGAAGCCTGGGTGGATGGAGATTGAGACCATTCCTGAAAGGTGCATCCAGACCTACAGGTTGGAGGTATTGCTGTCCCTCCTCCAATGACAGGCACTGCAGGCCAGGGGAAAAATCATCCCCCGAGAAGGTCAAAAGGGAAGCCAAGTTCCTCCCGTCCTATTCCATTCTGTTGAGCCACCAAGCCTGTGGTTTTGCAGTTGCAAAACAACTCCCTATTTCACAAGGCAGAAGGAAGACATTTCCCCACCAAGTGACCGGAACTAAGAAAGAGAAACAAAAAGTCCTGAGGGCTTTTCTCCCAGGGTCTGCAGGATCCTAAGACCAAGTCATCACGGGGGCCCAGACCCAGGCATGTGACTAGGACATTGTGGTTCCAGTTCAACCATCCCAGCCCTGCATTTGTGTTTGCAGAAACCCAAGCTGTGCGACAGAAGGTGGGTTGTGGCAACGAGGTCATATCAGGACCCACAAGAAGCCACCCAGCTGCTCAGTGCCTCCTAGCCAGCGCCTTCCTCTGAAGAAGCCCTGCTGAGTCGAGTACTGAGAGAGCCAAGAGGAATACGATGCTGCCTGTGACCCACGTGTTGGCCTTCGGTGAGTGCCAGAGGCTGTGCAGGCTCCCAGAGGGTGGCAGGAGGCATCCAGAGACTTCACATAGATGTTACACAGCTGCTTCTCTTGCAGGTGCTTGGCTGGTGGCACAGAGCAAGGCTACACCAAGTGAGTATCTTGAGGAGGTAGTTGGGGAGTTTGGACTCATCTCTGGTCCCCACCCATCTCCCAGGGCAGTTCTGCAGCCCCATGGAACAAAACTCACCCTTGTGTGGAGACTGTGCCCAGAGGCAGCCCCAGGCTCATGTCAGGGCAGCTGCTGGGGGCTCCCTGTCTGTCTAGTAGCATCTCTCTCTCCCTGTGCAGGTGCTCCAACAATCTCCATCTTCCTGAAGCCACCTGGGGTGATCCCACCAGGAGGCTCCACCACCATCTGCTGCAGCTGCCAGCATGGCAATGGGAACTTCATGCTGTACAAGGATGGCCACCAGCTCCGTACCCTGGAGCAGAGTGGCAGCAGGGCCGAGTTCTCCATCTCTAATGCCACCTACGAGGACACAGGTACCTACAACTGCCATTACCTGGAGGGAGGCACTGTGCTGGCTCGCAGCGATGGCCTGGATGTCATGGTGACAGGTGAGAGATGTGCTGTTACCCCTTCTTGCGGGGTCACATGCCCTATGTGCAGACTGGGATGCATGCAGACACTTGGCTTCCCTATCCATATGATGGGCAGGGGATTTCTCTTCTTCCCTGGCTTGGAGAGGTGGGGACCATCTGCACCTTCATCTAAGCCTTTTGATGGGTTTATGGAGATCTTGGCGGCTCCTGGCACCATGTCAAAGCCCTGTATGTCTTCTCAAGCCCTCTCCTGTCCCCCCAGGGATCCGTCTCCCTGGACCCGACCTCTCTGTCCTGCCTGGGCATGAGGTGACTGCAGGAACTCATGTGATATTCCGTTGCACCCCCCCACACCACAGTACTGGCTGTTTCCTGTACCTGGAGGGCCAGATCCGAGCCCAAGTACTCTCAAGGGAACAAGATGACTACAACTTCTCCCATGTGCAGGAAGGTGAGGGGGGCCGCTACAGCTGCCAGTGTTTCACCAAGAATGCTTCGATAGAATGGTCTGCTGTCAGCAAGACCCTGGATTTGGTGGTGAGAGGTGAGACATCCCCCCAGCCACATCCTACTCTTCTCTTCCTCCTTGCAATCCGTCACATCCTGGGGGAACTAGAAAAGAGGATTTAAGGGAGGAAAGCAGCTGTAAGAGGGATCCGAGCAGAGGATTTCAGCTTCCTTCAGCTGTTTGAGCCTGGCCAACTCCCAGAGACCCTACAGATGACCTACAGACCCTATTGACACAAGGTCACTAGGCTGACAGTTGGGGGTAAGAGTCAGGGGACACTGTCCCTGCACCTACCAGCCCCACGGACAATCATATGTCTTGTCACAGCTCAGTGGCACCGTCTGGCTGGCAGGAGCAGCTGAGGGCCACCTCAATGTTCCTTTGGTGCCAATGGGTGGGGTGACAGGTGAGAGGCTATGAGTAGAGGGTGTTCCAGGAGACAGGGATGTGGGAGGTGAAGCTGACAGGAGCCCATGGGGCTCCCTTTGCTCCCTGTGAACTTCTCTTTATCTGTCTTTAGCCCAGGAACTCCCCAGTGTGTCCCCTTATCCTTGTGTCTCTTTTCCCTCACTGCCCTGTGAATCCCCTTGGAGGATACCTTTGGTCTGGGATCTCCTGGGGGATCCTCCCAGGGGCTCCCAGTGACCGTCCCTTCCTGTCCCCTGCAGATTACACGTTGTGCAACGCAGTGCGCCTGGCGCTGGGGGCCGGGCTGCTGGTCCTGCTGGGGCTCATTACGGCTGAAGCCACGCGAGGTCGCTGCTGCCGGGGCGGGAGGGCCCACCCTCTCCCCGCAGGCAGTGCTCCCCTGACTGCGACCAGTGTGGGAACACCGGGATTCCCTTCCCGCGCTTCGCGGTGGGATAAATAAACCGTTCTCGTCGCTGTGCCTGTCCCTGTCCGCTCGGGGGTCCCCGCCGGACGGGCAAGGGGGGGTACCCGCCGGCACACGCAGAAGGGCGGGGCTTCGGGAGTGGGCGGGACCCATGCCTGTGAAGGGGCGGGGCTTGTGCTGGAGGCGGGGTCTGCGCTCCCACGCGCAGTGACCGTTCCCGTCCTGCAGTGACCGCTGCACTGACCTCTCCCTCTGCGCTGACCCCCTCTGTCTGCACAGTGACCACTCCACTGATGTCTCCTGCCACACAATGACCACCCTGGGCCACTCAGTGACCGCTCCTGCGCAGTGACCACTCCTGTGGCACAGTGACCACTGCCACGGTACAGTGACCACGCTCGTGAGCACAGTGACCGCTCTTGTGGCGCAGTGACTGCTCCCACTGCAGAGGCCTCCATTGCTTACATTCGTTTATTATTTTAAAACACTGACGAAACACATCACATCCTCATCTACATATATAAATTTACTTTTGCACCACTATAAATTTATATATATAGGGCCTTTAAAACTCTGTACGCTTAGGACACACAGTTCTGGAATAGCTGCACTGGCTACAACAAAAGGATTTTTGTTATGAAAAGGAGGCGCCGATATCAAAAACGCAGAAAAAAAGAAATTAAAAAAGAGTGCAAAATGAATGAAAGTGCAAAAAGCTTTTGTTATCATAATCACACTCTTTCCACAATATGCTCCCCATTTTTCCCTTCAAGGACAAGGAAGGCTCAGGCCCCCGAGGGAAAGTCAGGGCTGGAAGAAGGGAGCCTGGCTACAGCCCTCTTGTCTTTCCCTCTGCGCGCCTGAGGAGTTCTCTCCTGGAGGCTGAGGAGTGAGGAACAGGACTGGCCAAGTCACATCCCTCTCTCAGCTCCCTCCTCTTCTCCAATGCCCTCACTGCACTCATGGCCCCAGATGTGCCTCTGCAGACAGCAGCTGCCCTAAGCCCTCGACCCTCCTGGATAATTTGGAGGGGGTTTTTCTTTTCTAAGAGTGCTAGTGATCGCCATGGAAATCAGCAGAGGAAGGCAGGGGTGGGCAGCTGTGCTCTGGCGGGGCAGGCACAAAGCTTCAGCCTGCTGAGCTTCAGGCTGGCTGCTCTCATGGAAACAGAGACCTTGGCTCACAGTGTCCCAATGCTGCCCGTTTCCATGAGGAGGGAGAAACACTTTTCCAAGAGGCTCCAACTGCTCCCATGCACCCAGAGTCAGCCCCAGATCAGCCCCCCCAGAAGACACCCCATGCCTGAGGCTGGTGCATTTGGTGGGACCTCTCCCATGGCTCCAGCTAAGCCCCACCAGCACCAGTTGCAGGGGCAGGAATGGCAGAAACATAGGCTTGAGGGCCTCCAGTCAAAAAAACATTTGACTTCAAAAACTCTTCATTGACTTAGAAATTTTGGCTGCGGTCACATCTCTCAGAAGGGTCCCAGAGAGGAACTTGTGGGCCAGACCCAGCCCCACTTTCCTCTCTGGCTTCTTAGTGACACAGCAGTGAACATCCCTGTGAGCAATCTGGTCCGGCAACAGGGTAAGGACAAAAAACTTTGGTGCTTCTGCCTTGGTCACAGCTGTCCTTGATGGTTCCTGATAGGGGACTCCCACTCAATGCTCTGTGGGGATGGAGGACTTGCCAAGGCCAGCGGTACAGCAAACCTTCCTTCTTCTGGCTTCCTTGCTGGACCAGGGACAACTGCTCATGAAGGACACATCACCTGAGATCCTGTGACAGGCATCTGCTACCTTCACAGCCACAGAGACCACCCTGAAAGAGTGACACACCAACAGCAGGGGAATGGTGTCATGGTACTCCCACAAACACCCATCCACATGTACACACACGATCCTTTGGGTTTAGTTTTAAAGGACACGAGGAGGTTATAAGTTTTAACAGTAAATAGCCCTTGACCACCTACAAACCCTGTAACTCCCTCACCCAGATGAATCCAGCAGCTTTGTACCCCAGTGGCCGAGTGAGCCTGAGAGGCTGATGAAGTGATGCTCAATTCTGCAGGTGTGTGACACACACTCTCAGATCTCTCATCACCCTTCTTGTGGAGCTGGTGTTCCTGACAGTTGCTTCCTGTGCAGAGCTCAGACCCAGTGGAGACCTGGGCTCCAGCTGTGCAGCCAGACCCCCCAGCCAAGGGGCAGCACCCTGGCAATCCTGTTCATTTTGTGTCTGCTCTCGAGCCCAGGTCAGGCAGTGCCATGGTTGGCACAGTGTGGAGATGCAGCTCTGCCTGTTTTGCTGGGGCCCAGGCAGAGCATGGCTTGATTGCACCCAACAGCAGAGCAAGAGCTAGTGGTATTGGTTGTACCCAGACTTGTGGTCCAGCCAGGGCTTGGCTCATGCCTCCTATTCCCCTTCATCAGGACCTTCTAAGCTTCCCACCACCTCTGCTCTCCCAGGCAGCCCTGTGAGACACAAGGTTCTTCATCCTTCACACTAGTTTCAGATCTGATGCCTGGGTAGCAGCTCCTCTCCAGCACCCTGGGACGGTGCTTAGTCCCTTCCCCAACAGAAGGAATAACTTCACACATGGGAATGGAGAAGATGAAAACAGGATGCTTTCATAAGACATTTCCTTCTAAACTCAATAGCCATGTCCAGTGCTATTTTTGTGCCTGATCACATCTGGAGAGGTCTCAGCATCATTTGCAGTCTCACAGCTGAAGGTCCCAGGGCTCCTCCTCTTCTTCCCCAGCCCACAGTGGCCCAGAAAGAGACTCTCCATCAAATGAAGAGACCACCTTAAGGACCATTACTGCAGACAAAGTGTGTTGTGGGGAGCGGCTGTGGGAACCAGGGGCACAGCTGTTCCTTACCACTCCCTCTCTCCACAGCTTGCCACACTGCAGTGCTTGAAGAGATGGAAAGATCCCCCCCAGCCGACCACAGGGAAAAGAGAGGGAAAGCTGCCTAAATCAAACCCAAGCCTTGACAAAACAAAGACATGGACCAGTTGCAAGTCCTGCGTGAAGAGCAAGTGGCAGACGTTTCAAGAGCAGGTCAAGTGTGACCCCAAATATTCAATAAACAGAGTCAAAATGCTACATTTCCATTGGAAGCCTTGAACAGGTTGACCCAGGGGTGACAGCGGCTCTCAAGGCAGTGCTGCTCCAGGACATCTTGCTGGTACACTTGCTCACATCTCTTCATCCCTGTCTTTGAGCACTGGGAAAGGGGGAGATTGTTTTGCTACTGATATGTCGTTCCTAGGAATGGAAAAGAAAGTGAACATGGGACTGGGATCACATTGCTGCAGACTATGGAGAGCCTGTGGGCAGGTAGCCGTCCTCCAGCACTGCACTGCTCCAACGGCTCCCACAGTAGGCACACACAGGATGATGGATCATGGAGAGCAGCATGGGTGCTGCCAGGAGGCACAGGGACTCTCTGAGGACCCCCAGGCATGTTGGCTTTCCTGGCTTTGCAGCCCTAGCACTCTTGGTCTCTCTTCCATTACAAGGGACAGCACTACATGAACATTCCCAAAGTGCCTGTAGCCTTGTTGAACAGGTGCTACGTTCCAAAAAGGACAGAAACAAACCAGTTAAGTGCTGTGTTTCTTTTAGCTCTGCATGTAAGGGATCCAGGGACAGCAGAGGATCCAGCTCTTCAGACAGCAAAACCTGGGTGCCTTGTGAGGGTATAAAATGGGGAGAAGGCAGTTTGGCAGGATTGAGTCAGCCAACTCAGGAACACCTTCAGAGGTGACTGTGGAGCAGTGGATGCATCTTGTCCTTCACAGCTGCCTCCACTCTAGAGCGCCTTGCTCCTAATACATGGACCAAAGAGGGCCCAACTCTCCTTTGCAGAGAACTCTTTAATTGCTGTGAGGGGAACAAGTTATCCAAGCATCCTTTCTCCGGGAGAAGTGCTGGACAAAACAGTCTGAAGCTCAAGAAGAAACAGAGTCTGTTCTGCCCCCAGCCAGCCCTGGCCCTGCAGGGCCCTAAGGCTGCTGCATTACAGGAAAGAGGAAGAGAGAACAGGTGCTGGTCGTGGGCAGAGCAGCAGCCAGGACACCTGATTCCTGAAGGGGCAAGAGGTGGCCGCTGGTTTCCAGTGCAGCAAAGGGGCAAAGCAAAGTCATCATCTGGGCTTAAAAAGTCAAAAGAATTCAGAAGAAAAGGCAAAATGAGGAGAAGCTCCTTGGGAGTGTCCCTTGGGAATGGTGTCAGCACGAGCCTCGCCACAGGATCATAGTAAGGGAAAAAACCCAAATCTCTCTCAGCTGCTGAGCAAAGGCAAGAACAGCCCCTCAATGGTTGCGAGCACAGACACAGGCAGTCAGTCCCTTCCCATGTCTGGGTGAGTGGAGTAGTGGTTTCAGTCCCTACCCTCCACAGTGGTCCCTCATCCCTCAACACTTTCTGAACCAGTGCAGTCTCAGCAGGACATGGGGGCATCTGTGGTGCTCAGATAGGCCACCCTCCATCCCTGCAGCCACCCCCGAGGCCTGGGGTCAGCCTGTACCCAGCACTGGAAGAAAAGGGCAGTGTGGAGGGAAGAAGATGGGAGAGGGAGTGGTGAGAGAGCAGAGGTGTGGCATCTGAAAGGACATGAGCAGGACATGACAAGCTGTGGTTGGTTGGGGGGATCTCTGTCCTGACCAGACAGTTTGGCAGCACCAATGCTGAGGGAGGGTCCTGATCGGGCCAAGAAAAGTCACTTTAAGGTGTCATCAGCGTTCTTGAACATGAGGATGGCATTGTAGATCTTGAGTGCTGGGCCCAGCTTGACACTCATAATCTTGACTATGTCAGCCTGCGTCAGCAAGAGGAACGCCTCACCATCGATCATCTGGGGAGGAGAGCAGGAACAAAGGCACTCACCAAAAATCCAGGCTGGCATTCCTAGGGACAGCCAGCACAAGCACGACCTGAGAATCTGCACAGTCCCACTTACAGGTGAGTCCAGAGAGCCGGACAGGGCCCACCCACAGCACTCCCACACTGCCCCAGATAAACCACAGCTGGGAGCTTGTGTGCCCAGGAACAGGGC